TAGTAATAAGTGCCTTACTACTAGGAACAAAAAGCTATTAGAAACAAGAAATAAATAGAATCTGAATTGCTTTGGCAATGGGTTCTCCCCTTAGACATTGCAGGCTGGGCCTTGGGATCCCAACTCAATGTCACACATGGCTTCACCGGCCTAACGTGGCCTCCAACCTACTTGTGGCCCTCAAGCTAACAGGAATGGCCTCCAAGCTAAGAGGGGTTTATGGAACTCTCACGAGATTGGGACCGACTCACCTCCACGCGATCTCAGCGCTTGGAAACAACACTCTACATGGTTCGATGGTATGATGATATGCTCGGATGCTCACCTGATCAAGGATGATCACGGTGTAAAATATTTCAAAGTATCTTTGTACTGAAGTTCTGCCTCATGAATTCAGTACCATGAGAAATGGTAGCATTTCGTTCCATCGAGCCAGAGCATTCGAACCAAGAGCGGCTGCACTTTGACATCTGAAATTGAAACACAGGGATGCAAATAAATGCAGCACATCAATCAATAAAAAACACATCAAAGCGGGTAATCGACTCCAAGACCTACGCCTCAACAACAAGGGTCGGCACAACTTTCGTCATAGGGCCTTGATGTGTAGTGAACCCTACGCCCAGCAGTAAAACCAGTCACGCAAAGAACACACGTGATTCACAAAATTCCGTGAATCAGAGGCACACATGGCTATGGCTATGGTTCGAAGGCCAAAATCAAAGATCCAAACCAGTGGCATCTCCCAAATTGCTCAAAGCGTTTCAATGTCATTTACGCAAAGGGTTTTTCCTTCTTTCTCTGCACGAGCCCAAGCGGATCACTATGGGACTGCGAGCAAGTTGCCCTGCGGCCGGCTTGCCGAAACGAGGGCAAATCGTGTATAAAAAGTCAAATCTATTTTACTTTAGTTCAAATTCGGAAGGCGGGGCCACTAGGCTATGTCAACGGGTTTGGTGACACATGTGTTTGGCATTCAATCGCATCTGGTTCTCGGGTTCTCTGCATATTGAAAAGGGCAAATGCTCCCCGTTGAGCCGATGATGCTACAGCCGGGAAGCTGTTGCTAACTCGTGCTAAAACAACAAGTATGACGTGTTTCCTGGTCCTTTTCTTTGGTTCATGCAGCCATCTCCATTAATTACACAGAACCCGAAACATTGTTGAACCTGTTCCATCTTGAATTAAAACGATTTAATTATTAGGTTGGTTGGAGGCCATCGCTCTTAGTAGTCAAATGATGTCCAAATGCCTTTTTTTCAGCTTCAACATACATGCCGCTGGATCTCTCCTATCTCGGCCGCTGTTTCTGGCATGTTTGCCCAGTCTGCTCTTGTCTCTGACCCCCTCCTCGGTAGGTTCATGTGCTAGATGTGTCTTCCATGTTTGTCCACCTTCTGAGTTGCTTGTCACATCGAATCCAGTGGGTGGCTGGATGTGGTGTGCAAGGCCGCTGTGTCTGCTCGCACAACTTGGGAGAAAATGATACCAAACAGCATGGCATTTTTGTGCGCAGTTTGTACCGTAGCTGCTTCAGTGCGATTTTTGTCAAAAAACGAGGCAAATGGAGGTGTTACTCGTTTCTTAAACCACCTCCTAAGTTGCCAGGCTTCCCGGCTGCAACACCAAGGGCCAAGGGTCTTTAAGTTGTGCGTTCTGCACTCTCGTGGGAGAGTTGGGCAAGGGCATTCTTGAACCTTCTTGTTACTACTAGTAAGGCACTTGTTACTAGAAGCGATGCACTTGTTCCTAGTAGCCTTGTTACTACTAGTAAGGCACCTGTTACTACTAGCGTGGCACTTGTTACTACATGTTCAACAAGCATGTGCTGAGAATTGCGGATTTTACAAGGTATAAACAAAGGCCAACCTTCCGCAGCAGCATGGTATGCCACTGTTCACGCTCGACCTACATGTGAAGCGCTGTTTCCAATGTTGTTCAGGATGCATGCGGTTTCCAATTTCTTGCAGTGGAGGACCCTCACTAAGTGGCAAGCAAACGTCCACTCCTGCACAGATGGCAAAGAATAGACCTAGGTTGAGTATGACAGTGAACCTATGAATGCTAGCAGTTCAAAATCTTCTGATATGAAGAGACCAAATGTCTCCGTGCAAACACATGTCACTCTAATCCAACACAGGTGACACATTCAATCTAGCTCCCAAAGAACATCCACCGCATGAATGCCTCTGAGAGTGGGCCAGTACCTGGTATAACCCAATGGCAAAGGATGTTGAGATCATGAGCCGGGGCTTCATTGACATGAGAAGTGCCCCTCAAAATCTGGTTTGCATAAGTCAAGCAAAGAACGAGGAAAAGGGCCGGTCCAACGTTTCGAAACAGCACCAGGATAAAAAGCCATTCTGCCTGGTCATCGGCAAACCATTGGATTGAGGCAAGTATCCTAGTCAGCGGATGTTCTTAAATTAGTGACTGACAGCAACAAGTAAACACTTGCAACCTAGAAGCAATGGCCTCCAACCTAGTAGCGATGGCCTCCAACCTAATAGTATCTTCCATATGCATGTTTATCTTTCGATGTCAGTCCTGTAGTTCAACGAGGCCAGAAAGTTGAGGATTTCAAACGGATCCTGAACACATGGCAATTGCATATTATGGGGCTTGATCGTAAAGATCCGTGCCGCCATGTTGTGTTTCGGATTGGACTCTGCAAACAGGAAGTGGCACAAACAGTCCACATTGAATACGTGATGTTCCTTCTTCTTGAGACATTTAACACATTTCTCAATTGTGCTGTCAGTTCTTGTAGTTGATTCCTTTAGTTTTCAGATTTTTTCCTTTATATCGACCGTTTCTTGGGGGCCTCTCCCTTATAGCCACACCTAACACGTCAAGTTGGCCGCCTCCCCTCGGGCAATGCTTGTCAAGGGCCTGTGAGGCGGAGGGCCAGTCTTTCTGGAACTGTTCGTCCCTGCTCCGTTCGAGACGCGATGCCCTTTGTTCCGTTCGAGACGCGAACCTTGTTCCTAGTAGTACGGCCAAGAGCCCCGTTCGTAGCGTCCGATCGCTCCGTTCGTAGCGATGCCCTTTGCTTGAACGCATTTTGTTAGTGAACGCATTCAAGAAACTTAGTAATACCAGTTGGTAGTCCATAGTAATATGGGGTGGTGAGTATACATCGACGTCCAAGACTCAACATCATCTGCAACGGCTGCGACGAGCATTCTGATTGGTGACGAGTTATGTCCAACAACGCGAGGTTCTTGAAAACACAAGCCTATCATTACGCACAGCTTGTTGACCTACGTCACCCACCAACCCCACCAGGTTGTATCAACCTGAGATGGCCTCCATTCGAAGTACACCATCCGTATGGCACGCTTGGCCAGCCAGCCCTCAGCAATGTCGGTTGCGACTACGGAACGAAAACTCACAACACAAAGAATAGGCTGAATGGGACTGCTGGACACGTTTGACAGGAAACAAACGCCGCAAGAAAAGCATCATGAGCTACTCAGCACCAATGCGTATATGTAGGGGCTGAACTTTCAATTTAACGACGTACTTTTTCAAACAAGTTGGAACTTCTGCGCAACAGAACCCCTGCGTGCCTCTGCAGACACCCAGTGCTGCCAATTTGTTGGGTAAACTTGCAGCATGGTGTGTTCCTAGTAGCTTCTTGTTCCTAGTTGTGCGGCCAGGAGCCCCGTTCGTAGCGTCCGATTGCTCCGTTCGTAGCGATGCCCTTTGTTTGAACAGAATCGGAGTGTGGCCCCGCGTTTTCGCCAAACTAAGGTTGCAGCCCATGCACTCCGGAGCACTTTCAGCTCTGCACCCTCGGAGTCGATCTTCAGCAAACACACCTGAATTGGGCTTCGGCGTCTATATAACATGGAAATCAGTCCTCAGAACAATCAGAACACAAAGAAACCTCATCATAACTTACCGCGTCCGAGAAGTTTCGGCTACATATATATATATATATATACACGTATACAGTACAACTTCCATCAATTTCCTGGCGGCTTCAGAAGTTGCAGTTGGTTGATTGAGGAATATTGGGGACTTGGTGCCTGCAAGGCGATCTACTTCCTGACAACGTTGCCTGGCTTGAGATGCCTTTCAAGTGTGATTGAATGCATCTTTTTGTCATTTCGCTGCACCAGCTGGCCGTGTCTCGCTTGCGCACATAGATCTAGGGGTCTTGGGGCAAAGCAGTTTACTCCTTGGGCCCCTGTAGCTGGGTTTGGTCTGCTGTGGGCGTCAAAGTTATCTGTTAAAGCGAAGCTCTTTGTTCCGTCGGTGTCTTGGAAAGGTCGCAATTTGACATGGTCCCAGCACTTTATATCATATGTTATATATATATATAATGGCATTGAAAAAACACCGCGAATCTGAAATGCACAAACAACAACACATCATAGTTCTCTGCTTCTTCTCTCGTGTCTGGAAACTTCAGCCGAACCTGGGTCACCCCATACGCGTCCAATACCTGCCCGCAACGTGCTAATGGAATGGTCGTGAGCAATTCACCTATGTATCCACCGACCCGGTCAAACATGCACGCCCCCAAGGAGGCAGGCTCAGTGCCATGGGCATCAACTTCTTCCGGACTTTGTGCGGGCGATCATGCACACATCGTTACGTCCGTCCATCCGTCCGTGCACGCATGCATACCCGCATACATCCATACATGCTGCGTGCTTAGATGCATGCCTACATCCATCCATACTTACATAACTCTAAAACAACATATACACATACAGCTACATTCATACATTCCATACATTGGGCCAAGCCTACCGGCCAAACGCAGCTGGCATTCAGCTGCCCCATATACTAGCAGAAATGAATGAATACTGATCTTTAAGGGCTCGGGGCCCCTTCATTGATGAATCAATACCAATACCTCCTGCCACTGCCCCACAAAACTCAAGGGAGCTTCTCAGAAGCTACACCTTTCGTGACCACTTCAAGCAACCCCAATGACCCCAAAGTCTGATGCAAAATAGCGAGCATCCAAGACAGTCAACGCATTCGGTTGGGGAGGTGGTCCATCAATCTACGTACTAGCCTGGGCCATGCTGAGCTTGCGAAGCCCAACAATATGTTTGATGTACTGATAACATGCAAGGTCTATAGGTCCAAAGAAAACCGTACGCAAAGCAAAATACCGTCATTAAGTTAGCAATGTGCTTATTGGAGGTGGTTTCAGGCCCACCTCGTCCAATGCAAAGACCTGAACAGTTGAAGCCTGGGCTTGATAGCGGCTCCGTCACCAAACACAAACACATTCTTTTTCCTAGGTTTTAGGCCTTTCTTAGTTCTTGTTTCCTTAGCTACTGTCCGTTCCTTTCCTTCATTTCTTCCTGTAATTTTCCATGGCTTCAGCATGCTTCTGCCTTCAACCGAACAGCGATGGCCGGAACCTAATAGGAATGGCCTCTACCCTGAGACTGGTCTTGGCCCTTTGCTTGGCTCGTCACCTCGTCGCAGTTGTGGCTGCTGCGGTTGCAATGGTCAAGGTCACCAGCTGGCAGCACGTAGCTACCCTTGGCACAATAGGCTTGGAATGCCACGGGCTGGAAGGAAACACAGTAGGATGCGATGGCACAGTAGCAACACAGTAGTGTCATTGCTTCTGTTTGGATCTAGTAGCTAGAGTATGGTCATGATAAAAGGTGCATGTGCTGGATAGCCCTTTCAGATCATGTCTTGAACACTGTCTTGGACTCATTTCACTCCAGCTGCATTCTCATAGATTCTCATCTTTTTTGCTTCTTGTGTGAGCCACAGCTACACAAAACTATGATGCAAACAATTCTCGCACACAGGGAGCTGTTCCCCTCGCCGCCGCTCAGGCTTGTGATGCCAGCTGTGGCGAGGTGAGAAACGTGAACTCAACGAGTCACGATAGAATGTGAATTCAACATCTCGAGCTCGAGCGGCTCCATGACGCATCAAGTGTAGTTGAAGATCATTGAGGTGAAGTCTTCCTGTTGTCCTGTTCATTTCTCTGGTCTCTCCGGCTTCTTCTCTTCTTGCTCTTTTCCCTGTGAACCGGATTTATCTTTTTTGTCATTTGTGTTCTTGATCTCGTTGCCCTGGCTCTGGCCTTTCTTTTCTGGCTCTGCCCTCGATCTTTTGGACGACACGTCCAACACTTCTTTGGTTTCTTCAGACTTCTTTTCATCTGGCAAGCTTTCCTTCACATCACCTTGCAAGCCTTCAGTTTTCGCTTGCTCAAGGCGCTCAAGGCCTTGACTCGTCGATTCAGGCTTTGCCTCTGTTGGACTTACAGGAAGTCGCAATTCACTTCCTTCTATTATGCTAACTCCAGACGGAATGTCACTAGGATTTTCAACTTCACCCACACTTGCACCAGCTTCTGCGCCCTCTATCTCTGCGCTCTCCTTCGCATCGTGACTGTGAGCGTCCAAAACGTCCACCTCTGAGAAAATCACTTGGCGCTTTTCCAGCTCCTGGGTGATGGGAGGAAACACTTTTTTCAGTTTATCAGATTTTGTAAAATATGACTTACTTACCTAGGGTGCTTTCCGTGCAAGGTAGCATCCCCACCTCATCTCGATCTTCATCTCCTTCTACAGGCTGCTTACCCTCTTTTCCTGTCCGGAAGGCTTCAACTTGCAGCACTCGTCGTTCGTCCACTTTCGCAATCTCAAAGCGGATCCGCTCTGCGGCTGTCTCTACGATGCAGGCTTCACCGATCAATGGGATGCGATCAATTTTTGTGCACATGAAACCGCCAATGGAGTTGTAGTCACCCTCGGGCATTTTGATGCCGAAAGCTTCCTCCACCTCGTACTTTTCCGCCAGGCCGCTCATCGAGAAGTGATTGGGTGCAATCCTGAAGGCGTTCTAAAAAAGCCACACAAACGTTTTGCATGGATCTCAGATGCATTGTTTGGCAAAAAGGGCGAGTCAAAGGTCAAGGGCAACAACTATTGGTCGAGTTGCTGCTGAATTTTGTCCTGATTCTGTTGCCTTTCAACCTGATCTTTCTCTTCGTCTGGGTCATAGATCTCACCCACAATCCTTATTTCATGCAGAGCTTATCGGCCCATCACTGGTCCAGGCAGCAAAAGGAGCTGAGGTCTCAAAAACCGAGTTTCTCTTCCAGCACATCTTCCAAAGTAACTAAACCAGTGGTGCCTCCATACTCATCCTGGGCCGAAGGCAGCTGACAGATTAGGCTGGAGGGGGGTCGTTTTGAGGTGGCAACTAGTTTCCTGGAAGCCAACTCCATGCTGCCATGGCACAACACAAACGGCCAGTGTTCTCTCCTTTAATAAGCGCAATGCCGCAGTGAGGGACATTGTCTCCTGAGCAATGGGAACACTCAGGACGGAATTTGTGTGCCACACAGAACCAAAATGCTGAAATCCGCGGCATTGCTCAAGAGCTCAAGACCAACACGTGTGCACTAATGGCGGCGACAAGCGTCTGGAACAAAGACGGGGGTGTCGATAATCTCGCAGACTTTCCTCGAGTTTGAATCGACAATCTCCTCCAAACCGTCCGCATTCTTCAGCAGCGTCTTCATGCTAACCACACCTTAGAGGTTGTTGACCATCGTCTCTATATGCCAATCCGGTAGCTCAATTCATCTCAATTCCGCATTTTGCCGAAGGGCCGATGATGTTGTCAAAACGCACTTCGTAGACAGGGATGCGGCTAAACCTCGAGTCTCCCAAATACACGATGTCTGTGTGCAATAATGTGCATATAATATTAATTACATTTATCCATTATTTCTCTGTATACATTTCCAACCCCAGCCCCAAGACCCAGCAAAGTCTTTGCTCAGCTCTACCGGGCAAAAGGCTGAGTAGTCTTGATCAAATGATGCAGCTTCGAAATGGGTTCTTGCGATTCGATGCAAATCATGTCGACCAAAGGCGTCATGATCTCCTGAGGAGAAACATGGTGCATCTTAGACATCCTTCATAGGTTCGTTTTGAGAACATGGCTCCCCAAAAGCTTGCTTTGTTTTGTCCTGGCCTTGATTTTCTTGCTATCCAGATTTCGAACACTCGCAATCATCTCACCTTCTTCTGCGGCCACCACCCCACTCTGCATGGCTGATCGAAACACAAGATCCAATTCCTCGTGGAAGGGTGCGTGCGTGTGTCTGTGACTTGAGTCGCGTAACGATTGGCCATGAAAACTGTAAATACTCGAGCAATCTGCAGCAAAGGGGCTTCCTCGGAGACAAAGGGTGTCTTGTGCGTATCTACGGGCACTCCTATCATTCCAAGGAGCAATGATACCGCCTGCAGGGCTGGCAGTCAGAAAAAGGTGTCAGGAAAAAGTGTCTGCCGCTCTTAGATTGCAGGCCATCGCTTCTGGGCTAGAGGCCATCGCTCGTAACTAGACGCTAGTAGGTTGGAGGCCATCGTTAGTAGGTTGTTTTGCCGCCATGCCATCGCTTGAGGCACCTCAAACTAGCCTCAAATGCTGGGAACTGATGCAACATAAATCCGCCGACCCCGGCCGACGCAAGGGGGAGCGCGCCAGGGAATAATGATAGATCCGCCAGAACTCAATCGTTTGGAGCAGAACTCAATGGGTTAAAGCCGTGGCGAAGGGGTGGTTTCAGATGCTTTTTGGGAGGCTGGTTAGTGGTGGAAAATGCTAGCAAACAATCCAGAGAGCAGGCAATGAAACGCTCCGCACGGGCACGGACCTCGACACCGGAAAGAAACGACGATTCCAGAAGAGCAACCTTTAAAAGGACGACTGAAACCCCTGTTCGAAAAACCCTCGCAATGCCAACCAGTGGAGGAAAAGCCGGACCTGAGAATCCGGGGTCGGCGGCAGGGGCGGCAGCCCTTATAAATAGTTCAAGAGGCTTTGGGAGTAGCAGCATTGTGTTGCGACTTCAGTGCTAAAGCTTGGCTTGGCAAAAGCGTGCTGGCTTTGATGTGGCACAATATGATTGAAGAGTTGTCCACTGCAATCAGCAGTCTGACGGGCACTTCAGCCGCCAGACAATGTTTTGTTCGCTACACTCCACTAAAAGGGGTGTTGTCTACGATTCAATTCTGACTGCGCAAAGAATTTCTACATCGCAAGTTTGGTTGAATGATCCACATCCAAGAGATTAAGAATTGAACTTTCCGCAACTGAATTCAGGATGGGAAAAAACTCTACATGAATTGCGCTTGGCATTGGAGTGAAAGAGAAGGGGACGGCTAGGAGCTTTTACGAGCGGCCAATTGGAAAATGACACCTGAGAGAGGACCTAGCAAACTAATGACACTAACCGCGATGGCCTCCAACCAAATAGCGATCGCCCCCAACCTAAGAGCGATGGCCTCCAACCTAAGAGCGATGGCCTCCAACCCAAGAGCGATGGCCTCCAACCTAATAGCAGTTGGCCCCAACCTAAGAGCAATGGCCTCCAACCGAAGAGCGATGACCTCCAACCTAAGAGCGATGCGATGGCCTCCAACCTAAGAGCGATGGCCTCCAACCTAAGAGCGATGGCCTCCAACCTAAGAGTGATGCCCTCCAACCTGAGAGGGATGGCCTCCAACCTAAGAGCGATGACCTCCAACCTAACAGCGATGGCCTCCAACCTAAGAGGGATGGCCTCCAACCTAAGAGGGATGGCCTCCAACCTAAGAGCGATGGCCTCCAACCTAAGAGCGATGG